TTATTTCTCTTAAACATTGTTCCGCGGGCAGCAAAACTTTCGTCTACTTTTCACTTTCTAGTTGTTTAGTAAGGGTGGCGAATGGTAAATGCGAGACTTTGCAAGACGGCGAGACAACCCTTTTTCTTTGCAACCCCGAAACATTTTGACTTTTTAGATTGCGAGACCGAGACTTCAAAGCGCTTTGAGTGTGAGTGCTAGACGTTCAGACTCATAAAATTCGAGCCCCAGATTTAGTTGAGAGCTAGAATGAGCTTGTACAGCCTTAAGCCAGCTTCTTGGAACTGACTGGAACTGGAAATTCGATTAAAACACATTACCTTATGATATCATAGAGAAAAATAACTGTTTTTCTGGCGCCAAAACGGACGTTGTGGTAGGTTTTGTACCTTTTTGTGGAATTAAGACAATTTAGGAGAAGTTAAGATTCAATTTTTCTCAGAAAATTTGTAATTTGCTTCATTGAAATTCATTATTAAGTGAAGCAGGAAGACGTCATTTATAAAAACAGATAAAGGAATGAATTGGGACTTCGAGTTCGAGGCCCTTAGCCTTGCGAAAAATCGAGACTCCGAGACAGCTTCGTAGAAGAATCGGGACCGCGAGACGCACATAACCGCTAAAATATAAGACTGCGAGACCCGTGAAATTCGACGAAAATTTTACGAGACCCAGAGTTTTCGAAGGACCATTCGCCACCCCTTTTAGTTTCTGGCGTTTTCTATTGTCTACCGGGGCTCCTAGACAACATTCAATCGTTCTTCTTGGACTGATTCCGTCATTAGTTTTTAAGCTATTTTCAATTTATACCGTCGGATTCCTGAATTGTATGACTTCTTGTAGACCTCTAGGGATGCAACATTGATATGTTGTTATTACAATTGTTCCTTTATCGTTCATAGCTTTCGGGCCTTTACGACGTGTAAACAAAAAGCTTTTAAATGCATTGTATTTTTTGTTTAACAGTTAGACATGATTTTTCAAAATACTTGATAACTAAATACTTCAATCTGTAATTCTATGTTTTCAACAAATTCTTAGACACTATTTTGCTCTATGCGCAGAAGTTAACGCTTTCGTACGGAATGTTCTTGTACGCACTTACATTGAATATTAATTGACTTTCTTTCTCTAGCACCTGCGCGCGGCCGAAAAACTAAACCGTTTATAAGCTACGTGACTAAGCATAGAATGTATTTATAATGTATACACAGCTTGCTGTTTATATGCAGCAAACCATAATAGCCTTGAAAACATTCTTCATTTTTTCAAATACAGAAGATTCGAGATCAAAGTTCAATTTTTGTAGTTTAATTCAGTAGAAGTTTTTAAAATTTAAAAACAGACTGAGTTCTAGCACTTGAGACTTTTTAATAACTTAAGTCGGCGTAAGGGAAAACAAGTAGAAAATAAAGAATTTTTAATAAGACAATTTTAATTGACCTGCGGTTTGAATCCTCGTAGCGGGAAACTGACAGCTATTTTGGTCGAAATTTTACTAGAAGTCACGAAGTTTAGATCATCCATTCGCTGAATCCCAACATCTCCGAATTCCCACTAACGGGGTGTTTTCCTTTGCTTAACTAAAATTTACACAAATTCCGGAAATATTGTCTGAGAAGGTGGGAGGCCGAATGTCGAAGCACTTTGACTCGTGACGCAAGAGCGCAGTGCAGAAAATTGCAAATTACATCACGCACGAATAGCGTGCGTGTGTTTCTTAACTCATTTCACTTTTTACCACATACCTGTGTATTTATTTACGGAATAACACATTGTTGGTTGCTAAAAGCCCACTGGCCGCAGTGACTTGATATTGGGGCATGTTTTGCTTCTCTTGGAAATAAATGCAAAAAGATCTTACAGGCCACAAGAATAATTAGCCTTGGCCTTCAAATTTCCTTCCGCGATCACGCGTGCGGTTGCTAGCGTTGACTTTTGCACGAACATAAAAAAGCCAGTCGTTGGGCAGGCATCTTTTCCCTCTAGAACTGCGTTATTTTGCGCAAGGTTTGTCAATTTAAGAATTTTCGTGTTTAAACAGTGAAAACAAAATTAATTAAATTGTCGTTAGCGACCAGTCGTCAATCTGCACATGACAGGAGAACACTTAGAGTGGCCGCACTTTGTCAACTGTATTTGACGTTTTCCAAGATTAGCTAAGATTCCAATATAAACAAATACTAACAACATCCGCACATTAATGACCAATAAGTCTTCCTCATCAGTTAGAAGATTTCCGCAAACTGCCTTGTCGTCAATCGTGGCTGAATCAAATTGCTTACAGTAAGTATAAGTCTTAATAGTTTACTCGGCAGAGTTTTTAATACTTGGTACTTGCTTTAATAACAAGGATGCGGTTTCATCATTCTTAGCACATGACCGAATTTTCGTTTTGCAGTCATATAGATCGCACACATTCGCAATCAATTATGTATTACTTTCGTCCATACCTTTGCCTCTGGGCAAGAGGACGGATTGTACTATTTATAGAAATAGTGGAAAAGGCAATGTTTTTTACACACATCCTCAATAAGTGTGACCATAATTTTGAGTCGTGCAATTTACTATAGGTTTACTTCAGAATTATAAGCCCTAAGTGAATCAATGCTCTTGTCTAGCGTCAGAGAGACTATTTTACCACGAAAGTTAAAATCGTTTTCACCAGAATTAGATTCCCAAATTTTTATAGGGTTTGAAAAAAGATCATACAGTATTTGAAAATATTCAAAAAGGTCGATTTAATTCAAAGCTGAAATTCCTCAAAGTAAACATCCATAGGCCATAGGTAAACTTGTCACCTGCGAAATATATTAAGCAAATGTTAAATTTCCAAAAAAAAAAAAAAAATTATAATAATAATAATAAACTTTTTTACAATTGTGTTTTTGGGATTCGACATCAAAGTCGTTGGGAAAGTTTTGTTTGGTATATTATTATACATATACACTGTCGCGCGGATAAAACTAAGTTCCATTGTCTGCTACCCACGGCTATTACCAGTAGTACGGTAATACAAATTTTAATTTTTTTCTCTTCAACTCAGTTACCATGCCATCATCTTCTAATTATTATTTACTGAACAACAATAATTTGACAGGTGAAGTGAACTAAAATAAGCAGCAAAGATTTGAATTGAACTTTGACTGATTACAGACAAGTTGGTTAGCTATACACCTCTGCAAAGTTTGGTGAGTGAACATGGTCGCGGCTTTGCCGGGCCTTACTACTAGCTGAAAGCCGAGGCGTTACGACTGATTTTTCTCCGGGACAAAATACAAAATGTGTTTCCATCAAGAACGAAGCAGCTGCGTCCCCCTATGGCGCTCTCATATTTAAATTGATGTGACATCTCTTTTCTCACAAAGCATGTCTGCCGACTTCTTTTTACACTCCCAGCCAGAAATCGATTCTACTCAAGTTTAGACTCATTACTTAGCCTTAGAATATTCTCGCTTTGTTGAGGACAACCTACTGAATAGGGTACCAGAAGTGGCTAATTTCTTCGTTTGGCTTCAAGTTCTCGATGATGGAATAGCATTTTGTTTGAACAACTGCCAAACTTTCCGGGTTTATACTTTCAAGCATTAATTCATCGCATTTATGGTTTTGAGATTTGTGGGGAGCAAACGTTTTCCATTTGCTTAGACTAAAAATGAAAAGTGCTTCAATTAATTCATAGTTTCCATTCTTTTTATTCTTCATCGAAGTCCACTTTTGTGATGTTTGACTGATTTTTCCGATCTCTCCCACAAAAATACTGACAGCATTCATCCATTATAACGCAGCAAAACATTTGGAATAACCTTTGAGATATACCTGCCCAGGCAGGTCCTGCTCAAAATTTAAGAAGTTTGCAGAAGTCTACACGACTGCTGAAATCAAAGGATGGTTAATTTAGATTCGTTCGTTGAATTTCTCTTTTGCTCACATTGGTAACATCCAGTTTCTGATTCGTAACCAGAGTATTAGTCGCAGGATTTGCGAAGACCATGGAAGTTTGTGAATCCAGACTAATGATTGTGGTAAGACCTTCGGAAGTCCTTTTTTCACCTACATGCTCGTATCAAAAGCAGTTTGGACCGGCGAGGAAGCAAGAAAAGCGTCAGCCAGCTATAATCTGAACGAAATACACAGTTTCTAGTGATACTAGCGAAGCAGTTTGTAGCGCTTTTAATATATACATACATACATAACTGTTCTGCATCTTACTCACTTGCAGTAATGCAAGAAGTTCGATTTAGCAAACTACGAAACAGCGAATAGAACGCTGCTCACTAAAGATCCTATTAAATCTAGTTCTGCACGTCCATTATTGCTAAAAAAATCTTCCTAAGAGAATTAAAGCGCACTTACAAAAACCTTTCCTTTAACTTTTTTTTCCTTTCATCTAGATTTCGTGATTTTTGCCTCGTGTCCACGTGACCACGGCGTTAGGAAACCACCTAAACTAAGATGAAAGTAGTAAAAACTAGTAATAGGATGATAAAAGTATCAGTAAGAGAAAAAGTTATTGCAAGAGAAAATCCTAAAGGTTGTCACTGAAAACAGGTTACTTAAAATTTTGTGTAAAGCACCTCTCAAAATATGGTTGCTGTAGTAACAGCAGGTTTCATAAAATGTGACAAAAAAACAATCGTTTCAAGATAGAGTTCAGGTAAAATCGCAACTTTTTCTACATTGAAAACTGAAACAAACTTCGTGCCTCTACAGTAGCTGTGAAACCATATGTATGGATCTAAACCCTCATTAGATTCTCTCACAAGTAAATGAAACTCATGCTTAGGGCCTTGTTAGACCGTCGCGTTTATTGCCGTGACTCTCCGACGCGCAATTTTTGTTCTTATTTTTTAACGTCACCGCAACTTAGCGAAAATGGAACAAATATTGTCTGTCTATATTTACTAGTATTGTCGCACTTTTAACAAAGTTCAATGAAGGTAATGACGTATACATCGACAGACGACAGTTATGATCGAAAAATATTTTGGACCAAGTTTTGCCTTTGGACGTATACGGCAAAGTTAAAGAACTTTTCTTCGTTGTAATCACCGTGGGTGCTAAAACACTTGATTGATTATCAATGTTACGAGTTGTCCCAAAATCTATTTTAACACAAACCCGGAACATTTCAACCTGTTAGAACTGCATTAGTTTATCTGCCGATGAAACTAATCATGATATTTTCACAAGGTATTTTTTTTTTCGATATTATAACCAATGTTTACACCTGATATGTCTTCTGTTTGTTTACTATGAGTTGTACGTGTGGTAAATTGGAAAACACGTTGAAACAAATAGTTCCTTTTAGATACTAACTGGCACTTCTTCAAGAATGCTAATTTTGACAAATTCTCAGACACCAAGGCCATGTGGTAAAATTTAAAATGGTGTGCTAATTTTACTCTCGCCTAAGTTGCCGCCAATTTGGCGTCACTTCCCTTTGTTGATTATCGGCAAGAAAGATAAGAATAAAATATTGACTGAGAGGGCGTTTTTCTAGCTCGTAGCTTCCGGCCTCTTTTCCGTAAAACGTAAGTTGGGCTAATTTGGCTGGGAAAAGTAGCATTGTTTAAGTCGGCCGAGTGATTTATAGAGAAAAAGTTTCATTTCAGCTTGCAAAGTGATATTAGTTCCTTATCAACAATTTATCCAACGCTAACCTGACTTCACATATAATTATCGTAAATAACTACGTTGATTAAAATTTTCTTAAAAAAAGAAGTGGTTTCAGCTTTCAAAAAACGCAATCGTACTCGAACGATAGCTGTTTTCGATAAAATGATTTTAAATTGAGCTAAATTTTCTCCTAATTTTATAAAGCGAATAGCATGGAGTGATGACGGTCTTATTTTCCTGCTGGCGCGTCTAGACGAGATTATCAGATGACAGAATTCAGAGATGCTATCGAGTAAAATACTAGACGCTTTGAATTTTTTACTCTAGAAAAGTTCCATTATGTAATTTGAGGCTTTGCTTTTAATAAACTTGCTTTACACCAATAAAATTAATTTCGTAATTTGATGTTAAAACATGAAAGTCAACCAATAAAGAAACGGCGGTCTGAGTCAAAAAGAGAAGGTGTCATTTTCCCGTCAAAATTAAGACATTTTAATAGTAAAGATGCCGCATTATTTGGTTACAATGGCTTATGTTATTGTGCTTACAGGTATGCTAAACTCGCTGCAGTTAACGCAAAGCCGGTCTGTTTACTAATTAACACCCCGCTAGGGTTCGCAGTCATAACACGTACAACAGGAAGATTGCCGAAAGAGTTTGTAGAAGGTCCATTCAACTGCGGAGCACCTGCCCGGTCCTGTAAGCCTGCAAGGTTATTCATTCATTTCTTGTGGAGATTTGGATTCTTTAGTTGAGAATGCACATGAATCAATCCATGGTACTCACGAGCACAATTTTCTTTCACGTCCTCTTAAAGATTTTCTTATTTGATCTTGCAGACCACGATATAAACTTAACAAGCAGTGCTTTATTTGAAATCTACAGAGAACCTACTTTAATTCATTCACTATCAAGGCGCTCAGGAATCTAAATACGCAACTGTTTTAAGCGTCAAGCAGTTTGGCTCGCGATCAACAATTATTTTCCTATTCCTGTTCTCGGATTTAGCTCTTTATTACTACATGCCAATTGAAAGGGAATTTTGGATCCTAACATATAGCCAATTATCCAAACTCCTTTACCATGCTCAACGATTGACAACGTTCAACTTGGTTAGAAAATATCTTAACTAACAGGTGCTAAGGATTGAAATAAAAAGATATTATTTGTTTTTGTCTCAACAACATGGAGGTAGAAGACTTTTAAGTTTAAGACGATATCTTGCACATAAGCTTTCCAACTGAAATAGAAATTTCAGAAGTTTTTACGATTTTGATATTTGTGTAGCGGTGCGTGTACATGATAAATCGTAACTTTATTGAACCTCCCCAATGGGGCTTTTCAGGAAGGATAAATGGTGAAAGGGATTGCAACTTTTACAGTAACAAAATTGTTAATATAAATTTAAAGGAACAAAATTATATACAATAAGGTAAGGACTAAAGTAACCTCATAAATTTGCATGTGAAAATTAATATCATTTTGAAAATATTGCAGCGTTTTTCTTAAAAGGTTGTGTCTCAAGGTCCTCTTTAAAATTGCCACTGTCCTGTATCAGTTCTAAAGTTAACAAGGTCTTTGTTTTTTAAAACAACTAGTACTCTTACAGGCGCCTATCGTTATCAATGTGCGGCGAACGTTACGATATGTTATGGTATCAAACATTACGAGTTAGACAAATGATCTCCCGGTGGGTGGGTGTTTTACCTTTCGGAAGTTTTACCTTTCGAAAGTCCATAGTTTAAAAAGCGATTGAAAGTGGACTTGCTTAGACCTCATTTATTAAATCAACTGCAAAATGTTATTATTTATAGAGCAAACGCGGAAGAAAACGACTGGGAGACGCTTTCTTGGACTTTCTTAAAGAAAGAAAAATAACTGAATAATCGGGAAAACTGGAGAAAATTCTTCACCTTCACCTGTCCCCTGGCACCAAGTTGGCGCATAGGGCCTCACCTAACCTCGTAAAAAAATGAATGATTACAGAAACTGGAGAAAATTAGCTAAACGTATATCTTGTTACGAAAAAGTGGTTATCTTATGTTCGACCGAAAAAATAAATCGCGTTTGATTATTTATACTTAATACTGAGTCTAAATTGTCCATATTCGAAAAATAGGTTTTACGGATATCAGGAATTGCTGTAAAAACCTATCCTTCCGATCGAATGGCTTGAAATGCTTAAAGTTAAAAGTTACAGACTTATTTGATTTGTGACTTGGGGAAAATTTGCATAATTATCGGCCTGAAAACCTGAATATATTAAGTTTTGGTGGGTAGAAAATTACGTCCAAGTCACCCATTTAACGGCCTGACAGGATGTTTTAAACATGAATCTTTGTCAGTAAAAATAACTGTTCTTGGTCATATTTTTAATTTCCGGCCTTTTAAATAGATTTCATATTTCGCGGGATACTAAGCTTGCAGATGTGCAAATGTGTTCTCTGCAAATGTGTTCTCTGCAAATGTGTTCTCTGCAAAAGTAAATAATTTTATTTTTGTCAGATTTGCTGGAGGCTAATCACTAATCGCAGTGATATTAAATAAAAGAAAACTGATATTACAGTTTCTA